AAAAAAATGGTTTGGTTGGGTTGGGTTGGGTTAGTTCAGCGGTGGCTGTCATACAGTAAGCACGTGCGTATGCGTCGCTCTGTAGTAATTTGTATTTTGTAGGCGTTCTAGTCATTGGTTTTTTGTATTTTCAATTGTGAAACGTGTAAAAAAGTGCGCGCTCGGACCGGTGTCGATTTCGAGTCGGTCCGACCAAAATTGAATTTGCTATCAACGATTTAGTGTCTCACATAGGCGGATCAATGTGTAAGTATTAACTTTACACGTGGTTTTTAGCTCAAGCGGCATCTCGCTCAAACGAGACGTCCAGGGCCGGGAACGGCAGCCATTGTGTGGCAGATATAGTTGTACCATTTCGAGGTAAGACCTGGTGGTACAACTTCGCGGCGTTCGCAATAACGTCCGCGGTGAATTTAGGTAAAATCTGGACTTAGAATATTATTCTCGCCATTTCCCCACCCCCCGGAAACTTTGTAAGTGCCTAGCGTTTTCAATAACCATCGGATCAGCGCCGGACCAACGGCAATCACTTGGCGGGGTGAGTACAAGTTACCACCAGAAAGTGGTTTTTTGACCCCCCCTCCACTTCACTTTTTTGAAATCGCTCTATCTCGGTGGGTTTTTACGTTACGAAGCTGTTTCTTTCGGAAATAATTTTGGTTTCAAATTCCCTAAGTGGTACACCATCACTCTAGGGGTCTAAAATCCCTTCCAAGGGATTTCCCCCATTTTTGGGCCGATCGGTACCAAAATTTATATGTGAGCTCTGCAGGGTAGCACGACTTCCTTCTGCAAAACTGGGGGCTCTAGCGTATTGCTGAAACATAATAATGGATAGTCGACCTATACAGGTTGCTCCGGGATCGGGGATGCCTTCGGATTCTCCGATGACCGGATGCAGTCTGATGGTGGGTCAACAAGGACTAGAAGGGACTGATGGTGGGGAATCTATGACTCTTATTCAGCGGTTGAAGGAATCAGCATCTAGCAGGGACAGAATAAAATCTGCGGATAGCCTAGACAGCGAGTCGTTGGAATATACAACGAAGATGCTGGAAGAACTGGAAAAGACCAACAAGGAGGAACTGGCGAGACTGGGTAGAAGGATCGATCAGCTTGCGACTTTTTTAAAAACGCCGGCGGGCAGAAATGTACACACAACAGTTAAAACACTGATTGGCGACTCGGACAGAATTTTTAAAAAACTGAAAGAGACGAGGGACCTCGCGGAGAGGACCAGGGGAACTTGGCAGCGGAAAATAACCGAAGGCTTAGATAAGACCATAATTCAGGGAGGCAATGGGATGGCAAGTGGAGTAGAAAATAAACTTGACTGCATACTGGAGGCGATTGGTGAAGTCCAACAGGCAATATCTGGACGCCAGCTACCCGTGAGTTTGAACGAACCAGTGGTTCACGGTAAGGCGGGCAAGAGTCAAGAGGAGGTCAACGCTTGGGTGGAAGTCGTCAACAAAAGGTCATCCAAGAAGCTGAACAAAATAAGTGACATCAAGAAGAAGAAAAAACCACCTGCTGTAATAATAAGGACAGATACGGTTCCTTATGCGGAGGTGTTGAAGAAGATTAGGACAGAGACCTCCATGAAAGAACACGCGACCACAATCACTGCGGTGCGCAAAACTGAGGCTGGGCATTTACTTTTGGAGGTGGACAGAAGCTGTGGGACAGTTGACATGATTAGTGCGGCTGTGCAGCGGGCAGTGGGAATCGGTGTACCGGTGTCCACACTGCAGCAGCGCACGAGGATAGGAGTGTTTGGTTTAGATGAATTGGTGGAGCAAGAAGAGGTAGTGGAAGCGGTGACTAACATAGTGGGAACCACAACTATCAAGGTAACATTACGGACCATGCCTAGGGGACAGAAAATGGCAATCTTGACGTTGGACTCTGAACTTGCGGAAAAAGTGTTGGAACGCGGGCGACTTTGTGTGGGATTCGTGTCGTGCAGAGTGCGCATATGGACAGACATCAAAAGATGTTTTAGATGTTTGGCCAACGGGCATGACACTAGGGAGTGTAAGGGCATGGACCGGGCTAACTGCTGCAGGGGCTGCGGCAAGGAAGGTCACTTGGTAGCCGACTGTAACGCAACGATGGAGGAGAGGGAACGGTTTAAGAATACCCTCATCAAGGAGTCTGCCTTGTGGCAGGGTAATGAGAATGAAGCGGGGTACGGTGGCCGGAAGGTGGGTGGCTCGAATCAATGAATTCGAACACCATTCATTGTTTGCAGGGGAACTTCAACCACTGCAGAGGGGCGATGGATCTTCTAAGACAGCAGATTCATGACGAAAATATTGATGTGGTTATCGCCTCGGATCACCACGGTCTGATCGATGGAGTCGGGGGCTGGATGGTAGCAGGGAAATCAGCCTTAGGCGTCTTTGGAGACCGCATCTCAGTCTCTGGAATAGAACGCGACACATCGTTTGTTGCGGCCAAGATAAACTCTATCGTTGTTTACAGCTGTTATATTTCGCCTAACACGAACATGCAGCAGTACGAGGATTCCCTGCACAGACTTGAGGGCAGCATCCGGCGCCGCGGCTTCGGTAATGACATTATTGTGGCGGGAGACTTTAATGCCAGATCCGCAGCGTGGGGAGACTGGCTGACCAATTCAAGAGGGGAGGCGCTATATGATTTATTCTCTAGTGTCAATCTCACGGTACTTAACAAAGGGTCGGTACCAACTTTCGTTGGCATCGGTAGAGGGTCCGTGGTTGACGTTACGGCGGCTTCTTCCAGCATGCTTAGAAAACTTAGCGACTGGAGGGTTCGCGTCGACATTGATAATTGGTCGGACCATAATTATGTCTCCTTTGTCGTACAGGATGGGAAGCGGAATGAGGCGAACCACTTTCCAAATGTAGTTGGATGGGACTCAGCTGGGTTGGACATCGAGATTTTTAGGACTGGGTATCTCTGGTCTGGACATGGACTTCGTGATCAGGACACTTCCTTGGAGTTCATGCTGGATGTATTCGAGAGTAAGGTACACGCCGCTTGCAACCTTGCGCTGCCTAAAAGGAAGCTTCCTCCTCACGGGAAACCTCCGGCATACTGGTGGAGTGGTGTTATCGCTGAACTGAGGAGAGTATGCATCCACTCCAGGAGGGCAGCTACTAGGGCAGGCTCTGACTTTCTGCGGGGGAAAGCATCTATGGAGGAGCTTGACCGCCTAAAGGAAGACCTCAAGCAAGCACGGAAAAAATTAAAGTTGGCGATACGCGATAGCAAGAGGAAGTGTTGGCAAGAACTTATCAAAATGATCGACAAGGACCCATGGGGTAGGCCTTATAGGCTGGTGATGGGGAAACTGAAAGGTGGATTGGAGACACAGAGAATGGATTGTGCCCTAATTAAAGAAACGGCAAGAGAGCTTTTTCCAGATCACTCCGCTATGTTACCTGTTCCGCTGGCTGTTCCATCTCAATTCGAGGTGCGACCTTTTTCGGCCGAAGAAGTCGATGAGGTAATGCAGTTCGTAAAGGGGAAGAAGAAGGCGCCGGGTCCTGACGGTATTACTAATGCGATACTAGCGGCGGTTCATACTGTAGACCAGCATATACTTCATCGGTTTTTTAATAGATGTCTGGTGGAGGGAGTATTCCCTGTTCGTTGGAAACAGGCCCGTCTGGTTTTGTTAAGGAAGGGTAACAAGCCAGCCCTAGTTCCTTCATCCTATAGACCATTGTGCCTACTCAATGACCTGGCAAGAATNAGCACTTAATTTACTTATTAATATAGAATGATTAACACTATCAAATGGAAAGACTACTCGTGTGGAGAATCGAGAAGTGTCTCGTGCTGAACGGAGATTTATCTCCGCGACAGTACGGGTTCAGGAGGGGCAGGTCAACGATTGACGCGATACGGGTAGTATGTGATACTGCCTTAAGCGCAATTAACCAATACAAGTGCTGTGTGGCTACAAGTTTGGACGTTAAAAACGCGTTCAATTCCATCGGTTGGCGACATGTCATTGATTCACTTACGAGGTGGAACATGCCCTTTCCGATAGTAAGGATTTTACATTCGTACTTCGCTGACAGAGGGGCATCTATTGTGTGTCCGGCAACTGGCGAAGAGATTCACGTGGAGGTGTCTTGCGGTGTTCCTCAGGGTTCGGTGTTAGGCCCGATACTGTGGAACATGGCATATAACGCGGTCTTAGAAAAGTCGTTGCCTGAGGGGTCGTCCATAGTTAGGTTTGCCGATGACACCATGGTTATAGCGGTTGCTAATTCTCCGGAGGAGGTGGAAGCTGTCGCTAATGAAGCCTTGGCTATTGTGGCTAGAGAAATCGGGCGTTTGTGCTTACAGCTAGCGGTGGAGAAAACGGAGGCAATTTTCTTCAGGCGAAAATATAAAGATCGCCTTCCGTCAATAACGATCGACGGTGTGTCGATCGAAGTAACAAAAACTTTAAATTACTTGGGCGTGATAATTGACAGAGATTTAATGTTTGTGGACCACATCAAGAGAGCTACGGAGAGGGCGACGACAATGTCCACGTCGTTGATGAGGTTGATGCCTAACTTGGGCGGCCCGAAAGAAACCCGGAGGAAACTATACAGCACGGTGGTACATTCGGTCTTACTATACGGGGCGCCAATATGGGCTGACACCCTTCAATATAAAAGGACGAGTTTGGAGGCTTTGCGAAGAGTCCAGCGGAGGGTCCTTATGAGCAGTGTGTGCGCCTACCGTACGGTTAGCGGCACAGCTGTTAACATACTGTCGTCGGTACCCCCGATCGATATGTTGGCCGAGGAGAGAAGGGTGGCTTACTGGATGCGGAAATCGTCAGCCACACTGAGGCCCGACTGGAAATTGGACTTGAGGGTGGGCACGTTAACGAAGTGGAGGGAGGAGCTAAACGGAGCTATCAACGGAGAGTGGACCAGGAGGCTCATCAATGACCTGGACGAATGGGTGTTGCGTAAGCACGGGTGTGTCGACTTCCACTTGACCCAGCTATTGTCGGGTCACGGGTGTTTTCCAAGCTACCTCACCAAGATCAAAAGGCTCGGTGATGTAGCTTGCTGGAGCTGCGATGGTTCGGTAGATGATGCTGAACACACGCTGCTGCACTGCTCAGCGTGGAATACACAGAGACATGAGCTAAATCGGGTTATTGGAANCGGTTGGCGACATGTCATTGATTCACTTACGAGGTGGAACATGCCCTTTCCGATAGTAAGGATTTTACATTCGTAATTCGCTGACAGAGGGGCATCTATTGTGTGTCCGGCAACTGGCGAAGAGATTCACGTGGAGGTGTCTTGCGGTGTTCCTCAGGGTTCGGTGTTAGGCCCGATACTGTGGAACATGGCATATAACGCGGTCTTAGAAAAGTCGTTGCCTGAGGGGTCGTCCATAGTTGGGTTTGCCGATGACACCATGGTTATAGCGGTTGCTAATTCTCCGGAGGAGGTGGAAGCTGTCGCCAATGAAGCCTTGGCTATTGTGGCTAGAGAAATCGGGCGTTTGGGCTTACAGCTAGCGGTGGAGAAAACGGAGGCAATTTTCTTCAGGCGGAAATATAAAGATCGCCTTCCGTCAATAACGATCGACGGTGTGTCGATCGAAGTAACAAAAACTTTAAATTACTTGGGCGTGATAATCGACAGAGATTTAATGTTTGTGGACCACATCAAGAGAGCTACGGAGAGGGCGACGACAATGTCCACGTCGTTGATGAGGTTGATGCCTAACTTGGGCGGCCCGAAAGAAACCCGGAGGAAACTATACAGCACGGTGGTACATTCGGTCTTACTATACGGGGCGCCAATATGGGCTGACACCCTTCAATATAAAAGGACGAGTTTGGAGGCTTTGCGAAGAGTCCAGCGGAGGGTCCTTATGAGCAGTGTGTGCGCCTACCGTACGGTTAGCGGCACAGCTGTTAACATACTGTCGTCGGTACCCCCGATCGATATGTTGGCCGAGGAGAGAAGGGTGGCTTACTGGATGCGGAAATCGTCAGCCACACTGAGGCCCGACTGGAAATTGGACTTGAGGGTGGGCACGTTAACGAAGTGGAGGGAGGAGCTAAACGGAGCTATCAACGGAGAGTGGACCAGGAGGCTCATCAATGACCTGGACGAATGGGTGTTGCGTAAGCACGGGTGTGTCGACTTCCACTTGACCCAGCTATTGTCGGGTCACGGGTGTTTTCCAAGCTACCTCACCAAGATCAAAAGGCTCGGTGATGTAGCTTGCTGGAGCTGCGATGGTTCGGTAGATGATGCTGAACACACGCTGCTGCACTGCTCAGCGTGGAATACACAGAGGCATGAGCTAAATCGGGTTATTGGACCTTTCGACGTGAGTTCGTTAGCTTCACGGATGTTGGAGAGTCAATCTCACTGGTCCGCTGTGCAAACCTTCGCCAACGAGGTTATGGGTGCCAAGGAAGAGTTGGAGAGGAGACGGCAGGGGCAACCAACGAGAAGGTCGTTAGGAAGGCGTCTGGATCTGTGATCCGGCCTTCACAGTCATCACTGGTATATCGTTTAATGGATTTATAACTATTATGTCGAGTTAACTGATGAATTGTAATTTTATGCACTGTTGTACACTAATATTATGTTGTATTGAATTGTTACTGTTATAAATGTTATGTATGTGTTCTGATAATTTACATATGTTAGGTTAAGTAATCGAAGTATTGTAATTAATTAGCTGGTTGTTATAACTCTTACGTAAGTTGTTCTGTTCTGATATATATATATATTGTTATAATGTTTATTGTACATAATTAGATTAAGCTATTCGATGTAATGTTATTTTTCTGAATAAACGGTGCCGGGTGGCCCGGGGGAAGTAATGCTTAGCGGCGGATTCCCCCCGGGTCTCCTATGGGTACACATGCCTGAAAAAAGAGGAAAAAAAAAAAAACAAAGGGTTGGGTTGGGTTGGGTTTGGTTTGGTTTGGTTGGGTTGGGTTCCCGTTTCGCTGCGCTACAGTGTCGACGTGATCGGGCTCTACGGTTCTACGAAACGTCGGCACGAGCGCAGTTTCCCTAGCTCGGGGAATCGGGCGCGTCCTCAGGTTGCGGATAGAGGAACGGCCTGCAGATATGCAGGTTAGCCGCGAAATAAGCAGTCCATTCATTTGGACTGACGAATAAGCGGTCGCGGACAGCGAGCCCCTCGTTCGCTCGTTAACCCTGCAGATATGCAGGGTAGCCGTGATATAAGCCACTCCTAGAGTGGACGAATAAGCGGTAGCG